GAATGTTTTTTCTAGAATCTCTTCCAAGTTCTCAGATTGTTCTAGCCGAAGCCAGGTAATGGCCCTGGTATTTCAAATCATTTGTATATTTCTATATGGGACGCTGGGCCCGGTTCCCACGAATAGATTGGAGCANAAAAAAAAAAAAAAAAAAAAAAAAAAAAAAAAAAAAAAAAAAAAAAAAAAAAAAAAAAAAAAAAAAAAAAAGCGAGGTGGGTTCTACTGATTGGGCATTCTCACACAAGCACCCGACAGCTGTGAATTTGACTGCAATTACGATCAGTCTGATCAGACCTGGATGCATCTGACCACAACGGGGTTCAGAGATCAGTGGAAGGAAAAAAGGAGAAGTTATAGATCCCCCTGGGCCCCTGCGACAAAAGGTTTGTACTCGTTTGCCCCCAGACCTTTGCAAAAAGGTCTGACAGGCCCCGGAAAGCTGGTCGCAAAATTTAGATGCACCCCCCCACGCGTCAACCCTAAAGCAGCCATGATTACCGGGCCGTTCGGGGCCTTTGACACTTCGGGGGGGCATTGTACACAGGGTATCTTTCCTGTCCGGTGCATTCATGATGAGGGTGCACTGTGCTGGGGGAGACGTTAGTAGCCAAATGTGGTGCCCATGCGGTCGGAGATGGCTCCTGTCTATCAGTGGGGAGCTTCACCTGCTGGGAAACGGGGCAAGAATCCCAATAAAAATCCAAAGATTATTATAATTGCACTATGGGCAAGATACAGTTTGCCATTGCACTTCGGGCACCCGACCTGGTCAGAAAGCTGGATTGTATACCTTGCCCGAACTGCAATTGCAAACTGTATCTTGCCCCATTATGATACTGCAATTATAAGGGGCTCCTTAGACACTCCTCGGAGCATCCTCTGGCCCAAGGACGAAATCCTTGGAAAAAAAAAATTGTGTTTTCAGTGTTATCGTTAGACACATCCTTGGAGCATTGGCTCACAGATTCGTCCTTGGAGTTTTTTTCGGGAAAAAGACAAAAAAGAAAAAGAAAAACAGTTGTGCTTGAGGCTTTCAGCCAATAGGGTGCCGCCACAATCCGGATTCAGCCGTTGTAAGTTTTGTAACGTCTCTCTACGTGTGTGCCCTCTCCTCTCCGTGAAACGTCTATCCTTAGGTCCAAGGGACCTCGTGAGGTCTCTTGGAGCCAAGGATGATTTGGCTGGGAAATCCTTGGAGCCCAAGAATTTGTCCTCGGAGAGTTTTCACATTTTCATTTCCGATTTCATCTGCGAGGACAGGTGGAACAAAGACAAATTCGCATCCCCGAGGAGTGTCTAACAAGCCCCTAACTCGTTTTTTGTGACTCCCGCATAGATTGCGCTTTTTTCTGTTTTTTTAAGAATTCTTGCACCACCGTTGAGCTTACAAATCATTCCTCATATTTTTTTACTTATAGGCTTCCAATGGTGTGCGAACTCAGTGACTGTCTGTATTTCAACAGTTCAGGGTTGTACCTCTGTTCCAACTGAGCTAGGCCATCAGTGCATCCTCATCATTAATGTACATTGTACACAAGGTACCTGTGTACCAACTGCGCTAGGCCAATTGGAAGGATGGATTCCAAACAAACAAAAACTTTAAGGAAGATTTCGGACGGCATTGACAATTCACCCATTTCCTGGAAATGTCCAGCAGACTCGGCAGTTGATGGCGCCTAAACTTGCGTGGCCACTACCAGGGAGATTTGACCAATCCTCACACCATTGGCTATTCACCCCTTTCAAGGAAATGTCCGACAATTGATGGTACAGAACCTCGCGCCGCTCGCGGGGCCACTACGAGGAAGTCTGACTAGCCAATTCCGATGAAACTTCCTGCAAGTGAATCCACCTGCAGCACCCAGTGGACCACATGGAAATGTCCGAGTTGCTGCCCCGCAGCCGCATGCCAAAAGCTGAGAAAATAGTGCCTTCCTGAGACAACAGTGCCTTCCTTCACAGCAATGTACATTACTTTCCACAATGTGTGTGCGGGAACTGCGAAGAGGGGGACCGACCTCTCCATAGATGCAGACCATACATTAGTTAACTTTTCTACAATGTGTGTGAGGGAACAGTGAAGGGGGGGCAGACCCCTCCCTAGAAGCTGACCACCTGACCTTCGATGCTCTTTTTATTTTGGCCAAATGCACACACTATTTGGTGCAGCTCTGCTGTCTTCGCATTTTGATGTCTTCCTTATTTTCTTTGATCTGTTTTGCGTCGCTTGGTTACATCGCATTCCATGTTTGCCTGCCTATCGGCTGGAGGCCTGACAGAAAGACTACAAAGAAGGGACTGCAGTTGCCAACGACATCCCGTTCCCCCTCCCTTCTGATTTCCCAGACTTATTTATCCTCCCACGTAACACGCTGGTAGATCTGGGCTGGTACAGCCGGCTGAGCAGGGAACAGGAAGAGCCCACCCAGCAGGGCCAGCGTGGGGTTGGAAAAAATGGATATACGACCAGGAAAGGAATTGGTTATCTGCCTCCAGTCGCCCCCTGAATGCAGAACCTGCCCTCACATCCCCTCTATCACTTTAGCCTACCCCTTCCTGGCCCTGCCGGCATCAGCCCTGACCTGCTACACTCAACGCAGAGTCAACGGCCAAATCATCAAATGTCATCTTTTTTTTTTTAGGAAACTGCTCCGGAGTCACACTTTTAGTTCAAAATAGGCAGGTAAAACACGTCATGGCAACATGAACGTAGTTCAGATAGGCAAGAAAAACACTTAATGGCAACATCCTCGTCGTCCAAGTTCAAATCGGCAAAAAAAGCATCACTTTTTTTTTTTCGTTTTTTTTTTTTTTTTTCCGTCGTATGGTCGCGCCCCCCCGCGGCTGGAAAGGAAAAAAAAAAAAAAAAAAAAAAAAAAAAAAAAACATGGTTGCGCCACGGGCGAGATGTCTCGGCCACACCCCAGATTGGCCACAGCCAAGATGTCTCGGCCACACCCCAGATTTTTTTTTTTTGTTCTAGCCGCGGTGCGGCGCGGCGCGAGCATACGACGGGGAAAAAAAAAAAAAGTGATCGACTTGAACTTGGACGACGAGGATGTTGCCTTTCAGCTGTTTTTCTTGCCTTTACTCACTCCGCCTTGAAGTGCACCTGTGACTTCAACGAACTTGCCCCTTTTTTTTTTTTTTCTTTTTTTTTTTGTTGTGACCTGCAGTTCCTAGTTGGGGGGGGGGGGAGTATGAGCAGCCCTCTCTCATATCTCCGGTTGGCGACTCCATCTATTGGTGGGGAGCTACACCTGCTGAAAAACGAGTCCAGATCTTGGCTCTCAAAAAAAAGAGAAGAGGCTTCCAGTAAGATACAGGCTGAGTGAGATCTGGCATCCTGGAAAAGGACAGAAGACGGAGAGCTTCGAAACTTACTCACTAGCTGCTCAGTTAACCCCTCACTGCCCTCAGTCACCTGGGCCCTGGGGTAGTCAATGCTGGGGGGGTTGATACAGGCAGCCTCCCCTTGTAGCTGCTCCAGGTGCTCCAATCTATTGGTGGGGAGCTACTACTCCTGGAAAACGGGTCCAGCTTGAGTACATTTGACTCTATGATTTGAGTATATTGAACAAGGATGCAGACATGGCTGCTAGTAACATCCTCTCAGTTTTTTTTTGAGACAACTGTGCCTGCGACCGCTGCACAGTTCAGAATTTGCAGGGACAACAGTCCACTGCAAGCTTGGGGGAAGACCAGTTAGAAACTGCAAGAAAACAGTAAATCATGCGTTCGACGGCCTACCAGTTCAATAATTGGCAAAAATGGGAGGTGCAGGTGACCCTGTTGATGCTTCTCCACGATACAGACTTCCCCTTCTTCTTAGATGAAGGGGAAGGAGAACCCTGCACATGCCCACGCCCTCCCCCCGTCGCCACTGCTGCAGAACCCTCTCTCGGGTTTCCACCACCAACACTCCCACCTGAAAGGCCCGATCGTCCACCAATAACTGTGCGACCACCTAACCCGCCAACAACACTGCCACCAGACTCGTCTCCTCGTCCACTGACCACCCCTGGGACACCGGGCGTGTCCCCGCAGCAACTGACCCTGCTCCCCATGACACTCCTCCCGGCTCGATAACTCTTTGACCTGTCAATTGCTCGAACAGGTCAGCCATCTCCATGGACCTCCCAATATCCCCTGATACTGCCGAGGGTACTGACGGACTGACAGACAGGAAAGAAGATGGAGGCCAGTGCTGTACCCCCGTTCACCGTTCACGGGGTTTGTGGACAGAAACAGGTCATGGAGTTCACGGAGAGCGGGATCTTTTTTTTTTTTTTTTTTTGCTGGGGGGGGGGTTTTTTTTTTTT